AAATGCCTTTTCGTAGTCAATGAAGTTGATGTAGAGTGATGAATTCCATTCAATTGATTGTTCCACAATTATCCGTAGAGTTGCGATTTGGTATGTACATGATCTATCCTTACGGAATCCTGCTTGTTGGTCACGAAGTTGGGCGTCTACGCAGTCCTTCATCCTGTTTAACAACACCCTGTTGAAGACTTTTCCCGGTATTGAGAGAAGAGTGATGCCCCTGTAGTTATCACACTTGCTGAGATCGCCTTTCTTCGGTATTTTGATCAGAAGTCCTTCTTTCCAGTCTGTTGGGATTTGTTCCTCATCCCAAATCTTATTGAAGAGAATATGGAGTATCCTTGCAGTTACAGCTACATCTGCTTTCAGTGCCTCTGCTTGGATGTTATCTAGTCCTACTGCTTTGCCACACTTGATTTGTCTGATGGCCACGCTGATTTCTTCAACATTGATTGGGAGGTCCGTAAGTGCTGCATCTATATGGGGTGAGTTCAGTGCGGCTGGTCAATTCAAGAGTTCTTTGAAGTGTTCTACCCACCTATTTCGTTGTTCTTTAATGTCAGTGATTACCTCTTCTTCCTTGCTTTTCACTAGTCGTTCTGGTTTACGGTGATTTCCAGAGAGTCTCTTTGTCGTGTCATACAGTTCTCTCTCATGTTTCTTCGTCTTGCAGCCTTTTCCGCCGTCCTCGCTAAATCTTCCACATATTTACGTTTGTCAGTTCTGATGCTCCTCTTCACTTGCTTGTTTACTTCTGTGTATTCAGCTTGTGCCTTGGCTTTCTCTGCTCTTGTTCGGCTGGTATTGATTGCTGATCCTTGTTCCTCCTTCCTTGAATCATATCCAGTGTACCAACAGTGATTCATTCCTTGTGATGGTGCTTCTTGTGGCTCAGAACCTCATGACATGTTGAAGTGATTGCCTCTTTGATCCCCTTCCAGTTGCTCTCCATAGTAGTTCCTTCTCCATTGAGTAGATCATGAAAGGCCTGGAACTTATTGCTGAGGACTATCTTGAATTTGTTGAGTTTGTCAGTATCCCGAAGAAAAGCCGTATTAAACATTTGTGATATTGTCCGCCCCGTTTGCCAGTACTGCTTGAGTTTCAATTTCATCTTGGCGACCAGCAAGTGATGATCTGATGCTAAATCAGCTCCTCTCTTGGTTCTCACATCCTCCATCGTCCTCCTGAGCTTCTTTGTTGATGTAGATATGGTCGATTTGGTTTTGCGTGGTGTGATCTGGCGAAGTCCATGTGGTTTTGTGAATGCACTTATGTGGGAATATAGTGCCGCCTATGATCAGTTTATTGAGGACACATAGGTTTGCAAATCTCTCACCACTTTCGTTCCTTTCTCCCAGTCCACGTCGTCCCATGATGTCTTCATAATCGGTGTTGCCATTCCAACCTTGGCATTTAAATCTCCCATCAGAATGGTCAGGTCCTTTGTTGGGCAGTTCTCGACGATTGACTGCAGCCTATAGTAGAATTGATTTTTAGTGTCTTCATTGTAGCCGTTGGTAGGTGCATAGCATTGGATGATGTTCATTGAAATGCTCTCTTTCTTTGTTTTGAAGGAGGCTTTGATGATCCTTGGTCCATGAGATTCCCATCCTATAAGTGCATTTCGTGCTTGCTTGGACAGCATCAATGCAACTCATTGTGTGTGTGGGGCATTTTCTTCATCATGGTCGGAGTATAGCAGAAGCTCCCCTGAAGCTAGTCGTTGTTGTCCAACTTGTGTCCAATGTGTTTCACTGATCCCAAGTACCTCTAGGTTGTATCTCCTCATTTGTGCAGCAATTTGGAAGATTCTCCCGGTCTCCCGCATTGTACGAGTGTTCCATGTACCTAAATAAATGGTTGCTCTGGTTTTCAGAAGGGGCATCGGCCTCGTGACTTCCTAAGGGATTCCGTTTTCATCATGAGGCGTCATAGTTCTTCTAAATGAAGACCTTCTGACTCCCATTGCAGAGTTTAAAAGGTTTGAATACTTTTTTCCGGTTAACGTTTTTTTAGCGAATTGGTTTTCTACGGAATGGGGTCGCTAATCCCATGCTCAACCCTTCTCCTTTATACTGGTTTGGGACCAGCAGTAGCCCCGGAGGGGCTCCAGACGGAGTTTACACCTTGCTTAGAGCAGCGCATGTGAAGCTATTTCACGTCTTATGGAAGATACTGGTACACTTAAAGTTGTTTAGGGTTTGAATGCAATGTTCACAGAAAGTCTTTCCAAGCATCCTTTTGAAAGGCAACTGAATAACATACGTTCTTCACCCCTATAGTAGAATGAGAGGCAACCAAGTGGTAACACACCGTGTTAAAACTGACGGTTCGAGTCTTATCGCACTTAAGTCCTCTCTATTTATACTAATTATATTATTTGTTCCTCTGGTTGTTAGAAAGAATATCGGCCTCGTGACTTCTGACGAATACCGGCTTTCACCTTATGGTATCGTAATTCTTCCTTCAGCTCGGAGCGCAAAGTCCATACGGAACTATTGGTCTATTCTCATTAGCGACTTTTCTAGCAAGGTCATTTTCTACGGGACCCCATGCTCAACCTTCCTTATTTATCCGGGCTTAGTACCATTAGTAGCCCTAGTGAAGCAAAAGGCTCAAAGTCGCACGTTGTAATCCCTATTCAGTTTTCAGTAGTAAGGATAGGAGGTATATCGACCCATATAATTCCCTGTAATTTGTAACTCTGCGGAGATCCAATCTCGCTTTGAATGTATAATCAGGAGGTGAGAATAATATGTGTTTTGATAGAGGATTCAAGCTATTTAACGCTCGTTGCGGAAAGCAGAACCTCGAACGTAAGCGATTAGATCACGGTTTTTGATTTTTCTCTCAGATGAACAGTCCTAGACACAAGGGAAAGATAAGGCTTTAATACCAAGATCACACTTCAGTAAATATTAAATAGCCTTATAACCTGCGGTAAGATAATAGAAATTAGCTAGAGTGTCGCAGTTTGTTTTCATAAGACAGTCTGCAGAGGCCTTTTACCAGCTAAGTCTCTCACCATTGAACTCATTCTAGCATATCCGCCCCATTCTTGAAACAAGGACTTACTGCTTAAATTCAATATTCCACATGCTACCTCACAAAATTCGGGTATAAAACCCTAAACATTTATTCATCCAAATACTGAAATGACTAAGGAATAACCCAAAAAATCCTGATTGTTTTGGCAGTTGCAGCTTGCAGTTACTCGTAGTTTTGAGGTCACTGCTTATTATGACTCCTTATTCTTTATAGTTTGTTACGTTAGATAACGCAGCTCTACATATTATGTAGTGATATGAATCGTTGCAGTTATTTATCTGAATTACTATACTCTTGTTAGAGTTAACTTCTAATGACCAAAAATTCATCTAAAGATACCACATGTATTTTGAGTTTGACTAACACCTATAATCGAAACGTGTCAACACAGTGAAATCAGAAGTCAGAAGCCAATAGGTTTGAAGATATATTTGGTAGGGCATCAATATATCGAGAAGCGACTGATTCAAACTGGTTAGCAGTTATAGGAGAAGTTGAGTACAGCGTACCCATTCATGAACTGGTGTGGATGCATGACTGAGCGTCTTCAAATACGTGAGTCCACTAAAACTAACGAGGTTAATAATTATGAAGACATACTGAACTGTTTATTTTGCGGATTTATTTACCGCTACACGCCCATGCAAACAGTGGATTGGTAGAATTATGGTCTATTACGATATTAGTGCTACTCTAATAACAGACCTGATCCTAAAATTGTAGATTTGTCATGATATAACTAATCTATAAGAGCTTACGTGGAAGTCACACCATTGTCTATACTGACTCATCGTATCGTAACAATCACCAATGCATGATGGAGAACAAGCTTAGGTTAACGATAGAACAATATATTTAATATGAGTAGAAGATTTTAAGTAGCATTCAGCAGAGACCACGCCTGCAAGGCCGAGCTATGCCATAAAAATCAACCCCCCTTAATTCACTTCATTCTTCCTGCCCTCTTCTTCGTTGGGTTATTCTCCGCGTTAAATGGCGCACATCTATTTCCCTGACTGCCTCGTATTCAGCTTTGATGGTTGTAAGGTTAGGACCACTACAAATTTAATTGATCCCGTAATATTATTCTATCTGACATATTGTGTATATGCCTCCAAATCTTTATGTCATCCGCAAAGAGTAGAACAGATGGATTTACTAGGGTTGATAAGTGAGTCGCATAAAGTAAAAAAATGAGGGGATCGAGAATCGCAGTTAGCGGAACCCTATATTTTACAAATTCTGACATCGATAGAGCTTAATTTACTTGTACTCTTTATCTACTATCAGTGAGAATGTCATTTATCCTATCTATGAATTCATAATGGGCACGAAAACTTTCCGTTTCTAATTTAAAACCCAGATGAGATATCTTATCAAATATTTTACTTATATCTATGAATATTACATCTAAAGGAATATTTCTGTCTTTCACTATAGCCCAATCACTTGCAGTAAGCAGATTTGTCATGCATGATAGGCTTTTACAGAAGCGCTGTTGTCCCCTAGACAAAAGATTGTGCTTTTTCACAAAGTTTGAGATTGATAAATATATAACACTTTCCACTCTCTTGGCAACTACGATTGTTAGATCAATAAGACAATACTTACTAAGTCTCTGCTTCTCGCCTTATAAAGCGGACTGATTGTCATTTCCTTGTCAATAACTAGGGTAATCCACTCGAATGAATGGTAAAAGTTCCACTGATGAAATATTTCAAATAAACACTCGTTCCTTAATAAAAGCATATCACAATAATTAACACAAGTTAGCAGGCCTACCGTCCTTACAGTAGATCAAAATAGAAAACCAGAATATAATTATGTTAAGAGCTATCAAACTACCTTCAACCGTTAAGTCCGGAACGAATAAATATCAAACGACGTGACGTTTGTTCTTCCAATTCAAAATAGCTGTTCATAAAGTTTTAGTTAATATGCAACACTTCGCCACTCTCATATTTGACTGTGACCTAGGATTAATAGGCGCTTGGTACAAGTTCCTTTTGGTAAAGTGGTGTGTTGTTTTGATCTTAATTATCCTCACGTTTTGTCATACTTTCCTGCAATAATAATGCTTTCTGTTAATATTACTATTGAGATTAAAACTGTGGCTAGGTTTGTATTTCAAAGTGACAACCTACGCAACGTTTCTTTAATGACTGGAAATACTGTGACCCACTAATGCTAGCTCATCAACGAAACTGTTGGACCCAGTAGGATTAAAAACTCGGTTCAACGCCCCTAAACGCGTCTAAAATGCAACAAATTAACTTGTCGGTGGAAACTGGAATTCTCAGAAAAAAGTGGGAAAATAGTTGTGATAGATTAATAGATTTCTTATAATTTAAGCACTTAGACACTCAGAATTTTCCACAGTGTTTTAGATGTTTCTAGTATGTTCACGTTTTAGGTGTAGTAGACTGAAAACCTTGAGTCCAAGTTTCCTGCTAGCTTGCGTTCATCACTGAGGCATGACTTATCTTAAGGAAATTGTTACTCTCTTTAGAATTCGATTGGTAGTTTGCTTGGCTCTATACATTTAACGAATGTAAAGTTGGCCACAATTTCAGTTTACCAGGCCAGCCACGACCATAATATCTCAGTGGTTTTTAATAATGCTGAAAATGTTTCCTTACATCTCACTGCTTCTATCTTAAAGAACCCTACTCGTTGGTGGTGTGTGTTTGAATAGTTTTTCATTGAACTGACTTTTCTAATCTATGACTACCACAGCCTTCGCACCTTCAAGAATTATGATCAGGAGAGCATATAGATTCTCACTTTTTCTCTTTTTTACTTCCCGATGCATATCCGGTTAAAGAGTTAGTTTCTTATAGTAACTAATTTGTCTGCTAAATAACCTGTTTTGTTGCATACTAGAGCTAACTTAAAAATTCCGACATTCAGTATGGCGGGAATATATGTAATTACCACTTGTTATGTTAGTTAATTATCCGGTTAAATGTGTACACCCATTCAAATGATCAAACATTTATGTTTTGCTGCTTAGTAAACTAAAACTTTTTTAATTAAAACATTCATCTGTCTTACTCAATGTCATTATACATTGTAGTCAACGGACAGTACGAAGTACATAAAAGCGTAAGGAATCAGGTAATTGACATCAAAACGTAAAAAATCATTTGTATTACATTCCTGTGTGATTTTCCAATTTGTTTATAAACTACGACTCATTAATCCAAACACTGAACTTTCAGCTGATTTTCTTTCAGTTTAGAACTTTGTTTTTATTGGTTTGAATGCATTAATACACAATAGATGTGGATAAGTCTACTAATTATTGTAGATTATACACATTTTGGTAGTACTTATCAGTTTTATCTTTTTTTATATCAGTTGGTCGAAAAAAATGTGGCTTATAAGTATTTATTTATGTTTTTTCGTTACAGAAAATATCTCCGCAGGGCGTTTCATAATTTGTCATGTAACGTGACTTTTAATTATTCACATGTTATTTTTAATGGTTTCCGGTGTTTTCAGTGCTCTTTTTATATATTCATGTATTAAATTAATCCGCATAGAAGGATTCATTTGACAGTTTGACTATCAATTGTACACATTTCCCATGATGAGTTATCAGTTTTTAACAAAAAAATTTTGCATCTCTTCATTGTCCTTTATTTAAACAACTTTTCATATGAGCTTTTAGGACGATAATTATTTCAAATGCCTTAAATTTTTATTTGCAATACATCTTATATGAATAATAAATGTTATAAATGTCTGATAGCAACAACAACAATAACATTTATAACGGCAAATATCCACTTATTTCGTCTCCAACTATTTCCACTTCAGTCGGTTTAGGAAGTACTACTCAACAACATACATATTCTAATGTAATTAATAATGATCTAAACAACTGTACTGATGAGTCTAATTCCACTGTCATCTCATCTAGCACTAATGATATTGGTAGACTTTTATCATGTATAACTTCAAATGGAAATTGTTATCCTACATATACTTCTACTCATCCTACAATTCAAACACAATTTTCTAATGATGTAGAAAGTGAGATTTCTACTCATCACCAGCAGCAAAAACAAGAATCACCCGGTGGAAATAATTCATCTACAAATTTATGTGGTTTTAGAATTAAATGTGAAGCTGATAGTGGTTTTTCGCCGATTGGGAATTTGTCTGGACAATCTGCGCCAATCTCTAAGTCATCGTACGAGATGATGTGTAACAGTAAATCGACCGCCACTAACTCTACGTTAGAATCTTTCTCAGGGAAAACTGAATCATTTGAGGAACATGAAATAGTTGATGATCAATTTATTGAAAATCGGAAACTTGTCGAAACGTGTGGATCTTTACGAGCACATCCACAAAGCAATAAGACTAATAGCAATAATGATACAAATGAATCTATTTCATCTCAATCAACAAGATATATATCATGTTCATCAGTGGATCAACTTACACTACCTCAGACTAATTTAAGTAATCATTTTCATTCAGATAATATTCTTAATCCAGGATGTAATAACCGTATATTAAACAATTCTCCAGTTCGTATTGTATCTCAGGGTCGACTAGATAATGATAACGCAAGTGTTAACTCTTCATCAGACTTTACAGCTGATGCGCTTACTTTCATTGATACATCATCAACATGTATAAATACATTTGATACAAATGAACGTATGCTTACGGGAACACCTGATTTTTCTTGTTTCTTTCCTAATACATTATGTGATCCGCTGACTAAACGTTTTACATCTAATGGTCATACACCATGCGCTGGTTTTCCTGTAACTAATCAGGCCGATTCAAAGGTTCTAATAGGTCTCAGTCCTCTATCGAAATCGCATCGTTTATGTTATCCATATGATGCATATGAACCACTGAAAAGTGATTTCAAAGAACACTCAAATATAAATAACAATAATACTGTTGATAGAGCTCAACCGAATTCTTCACCGAATAGACTTAAAAATATACTAAACAGTACAGTATATGATCGTACTGGTAGTAACAATGGGTCTAATTCAGTTACAACGCCTATAACTTGTAATAATGATGAAGCGGTGAACTTGATTACTGACTCTGGTCAAAAGAGTCTTGTAAATTGTAACGAAGTTCAATTACCAGGATTCAGTAGTCCTGAATCAGCTTTCTATCAATATCAAAATAAAATGGAGGGGCAAAGATGTCAAGTGTGTGGTGAGTTGGCAGCCGGTTTCCATCATGGAGCATATGTATGTGAAGCTTGCAAAGTAAGTCCATATTCATTGTAATTGATATTTCTTCGATGTTATTCGTAATTTAGTGTCAGCTAAGGAAATCATTTTTAAAAGAGCAATATATTTTATCTATGGATTAATTGTACACACATTTACAATGTAATAGCTTCTAACTTCATGATCTTATGGTCGATTATTAAGTATCTAAAGTATCAATGCCCAATTAATGGGGAAAGATTCTGTATATAACCCTTAAGAAGTTTCACTGAATAACTATCACATGTATCATAACGGATATTAGATTTTGAAAATTCTATATTCTATATTATTACTCTATTTGTCTTTTCGCTATTATCTTTTCATTTGTGTATTTTATTATTCTCCTTCCTTTTAAATTTCTTTCTTGGTAGTGCTGCGTAATATTCCTTGTTTTTGTGTATCTCCCATAAATATACGAAACGCATGATGCCCTCCTACTATGTACTAAACCTTTCATGCTATAAACCAAATAAACATTGTACTGTAGTTTATGGAAGACTCCTTCCTAACAACTAAGAACAGGTTTGCTTGTGAACCTTTGGTGACTAGAACTATTACTTGGTTGTCTAAACAGAAGTAGTAGTAGGTGGTTCGATCCAGTGGTTCTGTTATTTAACCAAAACACCACCCAGACAGAATACGAATTCGTAAATAATAAAATATCTTTCTTATAAATGTTCGGTATTTTCGTTATCTAACATCATTTATCTGGTTATTTGGAATGTTTTGTTTTATTTAAATTATATGGTAACTAATATTTTTTAGTTCTCTGCATAACTTATATTCGGCAGTCCTTTCCATATAAACTGCAATCTTATTCAATAGAATTATGGCATTTTTCCAGTGATTCGAGAGTACATTTTTACTTGTGTTAGCAGTGAAATGGTGTTTGGGCATCAGTGAAGACTATACATATTTACAAAGACTGATCAATTTAATCTTGACACCACCGACAGAAAAACGTTTCAAGTTATAGTAACACTTGATGACCGGCGTTTAAACCATTGGATTCTACACTCCAGTTGTAATATAAAACATACACACTAGGAATGGTGTGAGATCCACGTAATAAGAATTCACATCCCAATTTCCACTGGTACCTACTAACAAGTGCAGCTAAAAGAGAACTACATACTTGGCTGATAAGATTTACAACTTTGTTTTGATTTCTTGTCAACACTAACCAGTTTATTGTCATAAATTCGAAGAAACTGCTGAGTAGAATACGGATTAAAAACGTTCTCTTTTTATTCACTTATAATTTATATTGTACAGTGGTAAGATATAGATAGTTAAAAGTCAACTGTTCACGTAACCATGTAAGCCAATATTTGCTGTCACACACCATATAAAATATCTAACCTAAAAGATAAAATTTAAAATAACTTGTTCACCTGATACTTACATATAAGCCACACTAATTGTGAGGGCTATTGATACATCCAGATGTTAAAACTGAAGTAGTTATGTATGAAATACTAGTAGGATATTTGAAAGCTAGTTAACAACTGAGTATATCACACATCAATTCATTCTGTTTTAATGGTATACAATTGTGTACGGTACGAGTTTTTTTATTCAAATAATAATCTAGTTCTACTGTTTTAGTAAATAGAATTCTTTTCGATCATCGTTTTAAATCTGACACCCTAAAGCTCGAATAAATTATGACTGATTTTTGAGAATGTATAGAAATCTTCAGTGAATATACACTTTGTATCGTCATTAGATGGAACTAAAAGAAAATGTTTGAGCTTTCTTCATCTTCTCAATTACCAGAAGCAGTACAAGTTAATGAGCTATTAAAAATGAAAATTTCTACTATAACTTTTTTTCTCTCCGTTATTGTGTTCATCAATAAATTAATATAATCTATTCTGTTCACTGTAAATGATTTGATATTTGTTTAGATAGATGATTTTCTTGATTCAATAATGAGCTATTTATTACTAGACAGTTTATGTTCGTAAATAGGATTCTTTTTTTTATTGACGTCATAACTGTCGAATTGTAGTACAATTTCTAATTGTTTACATTCATGTAAGTGTATAAAGCTACACTGATCTTAATACCTATATCATTTTGTTAAAAGAATATTAGCTATTTTTGTTGTATTTGCTTCTTAGAAAAAGTTTTTTTCTTTATAATGTAAGAATTTAAGTTATTCTTACATCATTAACAATTTATCGTATAACTAATTTATGAACGACGTTTGAGCAATGACATACTAAAGTGAAAGACTTAATTTCGTTGGTTCGTCCGTAAATTGTAGTTCTGCATATGTTTTTTTCTTAATTTTCGTATTTTCAACGTATCACTTTTTACATTTTCAGGTGAATATTCCAAATTGATAAGGATGTTTTTCATTGTTGTAACTAGAACTTTTAATAGTAACTAAAGACTTCCCTTTCGAACGAATAAATTTCATTTATTTGCAAAGCTCAAGTTTTTGTACATAACTATGAGTCATATATTTGTGTGAAGGTTAGTTGTACTTCCTGTCTGCACAAGTAAATCGGGGTTAAAATATACGATTGATATCGGTTGGAAACTTTATGCCTAGACTACTAAGCCAATATTCTAACATCTTGAGTACTTTTCAATCCATTTCAATGGTAAACGGTTGATGAATATACCCAAAATAATATTTCATGATGCACAATAGCATACAAATGTTAGTATGAATCTCACCAAAATGATTATTTAAAGTCTAATTTTCTGATGAAAAAGTTAATAGTTTTAGTCGCCCAATGTATTCATGTGGATCGTTAGTAACAGTAATTACTCGATTTAATTATTACTGAATTTATATGAATTAGGGAATCAGACAATCTTCTCTCTCTGTATTTATTACAGTAAAATTTTACATTGTTTTTCTCTAGTACTGTCCGAATCATTTTATATTTCGTATTTACAGTTTGGGAATATCCCATTGTCTAATAAATGTACTATAGTTAAATTTGTGCATTACTCTTTATTAATCATCATCTTGGTTTCCTGTATAATTTTTGTTAAATCTAAATGAAAGTTTCAACTTCATTCTGTACAGTGAGGAAATAATAACTATCGGTATCGAAACGGAAGTTCCAACTGTCATCTCGTTGAGCCAAAGATATGTATTGTCTATGCATTGATATCTGTTAATTACTTTTTCGAACTAGCAAACTCTGATATTGAATTAAGCTAATCATATATGTGATTCAAAGCCTGGTACATAAATCTAAGTACAACAGTTGCTTGTTATATTACCTGGCAGCACTAACAACAGCACATTACCTGGCAGTAGTTGAAATTCAAGTACCACTCATTACCAGTCTATTTCTGTTAAATTCTTTTTCACTTCATATTCGTTCAAGTAACCTCTATGTATTTCTGATAAGTATCACCTCAGTGTATTACTGTCATGTTCAATAGTACGCGACATGTGCATCTCAGATAAAAAAAAGCTGGAATATACAACAGGTTGTATTCTTTTTTATTCAATACCCATAAATTATGGACACCAAAAACTACCATGCGTCGCATAAATAAAAAAATAAAACAGAGGAGAAGTTGGTCAGATTGTTAATTTTACAAACGGAGTCGATTCTCAAATTCTAACCAAATCAATGTCAAAAGTTACCTTTTGAAATTCTCCTCATAATTTTATAACAAAAGAAGCAATCATATTAGTTTCATTTTCACAGGAAAAAACTTCATTAATAAAGGACCTGATTTCTATGTGTTAAGTTGATAACCCCAAACTTTTAGTATTCACAGAAAATTAAATACGTTATTCTGCTCTCTCCGAAAGTACTACTTTCGAAGAAGAAAAAGAAAAAAATATTCGTTTTATTCAATACTATACAGTTGATTTTAGAAAGTTCTCAGCACTAATACATAATACTACAATAAATTCTTGTTTCATACCTATTCAATTTGTTAAAATTCAAGAAAATATCTAACAAAAATCTTCATCTACAAACATTTTTTGTCCAGGTTTGTTCCTATGATATACTTTTTCATTGCACAGTAATATTCAATTTATGAATTTGAGTCAAACCAGCTCTTATTTCTCCAAAGACCATACGAGAAAGAAAACCGACCAACCATTGTAATGGTTTCGCTGGAATTCAGCAATAATTCTTTACATGATAGGTTGTAAACATTTTTTTTTAATAAAAGGGACTTGGACACAATAGACGAATAACATTATACAACTAGTTAATTATGTGACAAATCAAACGCACAGAATTTTTCTTCAGTCAGTCAGCTACAACGTAGGACCAGGTACATATATGCATCGGTCCAAGTTGCCATACCTCATTAACACAACAAGATGGATACCGGTCCATGATGACGTTTTTCTTGGCATTTTCAAAATTGAAATTTAAAAAAAAGTACTTGATTTATTATTTCTCCTAACCGGTAATCGCACAACTTTTATTTTATTTTATAAAATTAGTTCCCATTAACTATATAATCGAATGATTTTTTTACATCTATCTTATCTCGTGCTTCTGTATCCATTCAACTGAAACAATGCTAGTGGCTTATTTTTGACACTTACCTGTGTTTATTCTATAACATTTATAATTCTTTGTATTCAATGGAAAAGCAGTATATATATATATATATATATATATATATATATATATATATATATATGACATGTGAAATATGCAATAGTAACATGGGAAAAGAAAACAAATCTGTTAATTTATCACTCAGTTATCTAAACTTTGTGTCACAGACACAAAGTAATGTTCCACTTACTAATATTGAACCATCCAGCTAGATAGGCTAACATCCGCTTCATATGTGCTACTAGTAGATCAGGGTATTTTTTGTGTTCAATCATCGTCTCCGAAAGATTACTCACATTCGGTGCCAAATCGTTCAAATAATACCGAAATCAGATGATTTGTGTTTGGGCTCAGTGACGATGGTTCGATTGGCGTCATCATCTCGAAACCCCGATTCTGATGGCTTAAATTTATTGTACTAATGTCAGT